GACTCCTCATCTGCTATACTATTTCATTAATAAACAGAGGAGGGCTAAGTTCAATTCCCAAGTTGCCTCGACACTTTGACAGTGTGGAATAATCTGCAAAACAGGCAAACGAAAATTAACTGCCAAAAGTGAGATAATCAAGGAACAAATAACCTCTTTGCAGTATCGGTAGGGCCAGTGGGTGTATTATCCCACCAGGAGCAGGTGTCGTCCCCCTCCCCCCCCCCCGGTGTATTTTGAACAACACTTTTTGCACTTGTATAACAACTTCTGGTTTAAAGGATGAGAACTGTTTTTTTTTTTCTGTTTAAAGGATGAGAACAGAAACATATATGATTAAAACCAATTTGTGGTGGCTGAAGCTTCCCCCCTATGTCGTAATTCTCCATATTCTATATACCTGATCTGTACATCCAAGTTTCTGCTATTTCCATGTTGATTTTTCAAGGTTGCTATACCTTTAGGATGCTTAAGTGATCCTTTAAAAAATCTCCCTTCAGAGCCTATGACTGACTGTGTTTAAGGGGGTAACACCAGGAAATTCCTAATGTATTTAATGATAGTTAAAAAAAATGAAATAAATTAATGATAGTAAAAACTTCTGAATGTAAACATAACTGTTTTTAATCCAGTTTACATGCTCTTGATGCCAGCAGTTTGTAGGCCTGCAAAAAGCTACCATGTTTTCCCGAAAATAAGACACTGTCTTATATTTATTTTTTCTCAAGAAGACACACTATATACATTCAGCTTATATATACATTCAGCACTAGGGCTTATACCACAAATGCATATAAATCCTGCTAGGGCTTATTTTTTGGGTAGGTCTTATTTTCGGGGAAACAGGGTATGCTTTGGCTTGGGAACAGGCTCCTGTGTATTTGGAAGAAATTGCCGATTTCTTTGGAACCTCACATGGGCATGCAAGTAGTCCCCGAGCCTTCTCAAGAGGTCTGGAGAGTCCTGGGCAACCTCTATCCCCTAACCAGAATAAAAAGAATAAATAATATAAATAGATAATAAAAATTTCATTTGGATATATTTTAATTTAACAAATGCTCTTCTAGCCTTTTTTAAAAGCCCCCCCCCCCCCCGGGTTTGAGGCTCAGGCCAAATGGCCCTCCTGCTTGCCCCCTCTGATTGGCCCCACACTGAAGAAGGCTGGGTAGAACTGAAGGCTGTGCTGTCTTTGTATTAGTAGCTGAGAGATCTAAACAATTTACTTGTGCAGCTAGGCTGTTGACAAGAACAAAGGTCTACAAGAACAAAAGGAAATACAGTATAAATAAGCTGAACAAACATAATAGTATATCTTGGGCTGGTTGGAATTTGATAGCTGGTTCCTCCAAAGTCACTGGCTCCAAAACAAGATCCCGGAAGCCCTTGTCCCTAAGTTAGCACTTCTGGCTACACCCAAGCTTTATAGTACCTGCAGGGAAAGGAAGATAAACTTAGCCAGGATGAAGCTCACCTATTGCTAGTATACTGCAAGCAAGACCTTCCTCCCCATGCTCTCACCAGAAGAAGAAGAAGAAGAGATTGGATTTATATCCCACCCTTCACTTGGAGTCTCAGAGCGGCTTACAAACTCCTTTCCCTTCCCCTTCCCACAATAGACACCCTGTGAGGTGGGTAGGGCTGAGAGAACTCTGACACAAACTGCTCTTTTTCAAGGACAGCAGTGGCAGAGCTTGTGACTGACCCAAGGTCACATCAGCAGGTGCAAGTGGAGAAGCTGCCTAGGGGAGACGGCAGAATAGGTTTTGAGTTGTACTAGGTAAGACATATTGTAAAATTTAACCATATTTCTGCCTGTATCATTAATAGGTGAACAGATACATGTTCCTGCACCCAAAAAGTATCTTTTGGAAATACATCTTATTGATTTCAATGGGTCCAGTAACTTCCAGACAATGTGCTTAGTTAGTGCCCTTGTGTTTGATATGTTTCGACTAACTGAGTCAATGAACTGGAAAGATCCCATGCTGATTCACGAGATGTGAGGAATACTTTCTCACATCTATTCTGTATTCCTGCTTATATATTTTAAAACAAAAATCTTCATTCCTTTTTTCTTATTGATTCATGGTCCAAATGTTGCTTTAAGCAAAGGTCTTTATGGCACCATCAAAAAAAAATGTTAGAAACTTTGCTTCCTTTTATCAGCTGAGCTTCTTCTTGCCCTGCATGTTGCATTGATCATTTCCACAATAGGCTCCAATTTAATGGTGCAATAGAAAAAACACCTCTCTGCTGATCTTGCATTTCTAGGTTTTCCTCTGGTTCCTGCTGACACAATCAGGGCAATTCCCTTTTTCCCAGTTCAAGACACCCTTACACATGAGTGCATCTTGTGGTTAAGCAAATTGGGGGTGTAGACTGTTAACATCAGGGGGCAGCATGAGGCACTGCTGAATTTGTGTTGTGTTGTTACACTGCAATATTGGGTATAGTTTAGGGCCACTATCCAGCTCTTAGTCCTGCTTAGTCATTGTTACACGTGATTGTCTTGCATCATATGTATCTATCAGTAAGACTAGATAAGCACTTGGATGCATTAGGTTCTCCATTTATAAATGCATAAAACATACACAGATGTAGAAGCCTTTCTAAATTGAGAATTGCTATTCATTTATCCTCTTCCATTGTTTTAAAAGGAAAGAGCGAAATACAGCCAATGAAAACCAAAGAGCATCCCAGAAGAGAAATGTTTGTTTTAATAATTGGATGAGCTTGAGAAATGAATTTAATTAGTCTTTTTTATTTAAGAATAATGAAAAAACTCAAATAGCTATACTTAAGGCTGAGATTGTAAAAGAATAAAAATGATTAATAGACAGGATGTTAATTAAAGGGAGTAAACCTGATGGGAGCTTGTTGGACAGTTGTTTAAAATATGAATCCTATACTATTAACGTGTGTTTTCCTAATCAATGTGATTCGTTGGCTGAATAGTTCTCTAAAGCACTGAAATCAACAGATGTGATGTACTGATTATTCTGCAGTGGTTAAAATAATTGCATTAAGGACTAATGCTCTGAAGATGGCAGCATTGGGTGAGATACCTCACTCCATGGCCTAACAAAGGCTTTGTAGATTCATTGCAACATATTTTTTTTCATTCGAAGGGTACTCCTCAATGCATAATATTGATAAAAAATTAGGAATTGGCAGACACAAATACATTTTACCATCTGAGCATTTCATATCTGGTGTATTATATATGTTCACAAAATACAGACTGAGTTCCCTAAAACTGAAAATCTGTTATTTTGGCATGTGTGCATGGATTTGGAATACATCCCTTTTAAGGCACTCCTTTGTGGTACTTCTCTGCCATAGCTGATCTTACACATAAACATAAATTCAATGACATACAAAACTTCTTAGGCAGACAGACAAATAGTACTGCATATCTACAAATGAGTGCATGTGACAGGGAGATTATGGCCAGCATGGCAACTATTTTGTATAATGATATATCCAGTGTGACAATAATCTGAAGGTGGCAAGGCAGGGTCAGAATGAAGAATGCACATTAAATATCTTGCTTATTTGGCTTCCTCCTCCTGCACTGCAAGTGATCCCTCAGCAGATGTCTCAGGTAGACAACCAGGAAGACAGGAATTAGCACACACAATAGTACTGTCACATGTCCCCCTCCAAAAAGCTGCAGTGATTCAATTGCCTCGGTTAATTTGCTCGTCTGTTTTTGTTTACAAAAATACTTAATCTGAAGCTCTTAACAGCTCAGAATCAAATTCACAATAAACTATAAAAGGCCTTGACGTTGATATGCAAAGTCATACAGCCAATTTGCATATCATTTTTTTTTTAAACCACAGAAGATAAAAGCCAGGATCCAGAGAAACACAGAACTGGTTCTGTGAGCCCAAGGGGGCTTCAGACTTCTGTTCTTGGCTGAAAAAGTATCTTCCAATTTTGCATGGTAAATTGGTTTTGAAAGTGAGCAGGGCTTCAAAAGTCACTAAGGTCAGCCATTCAGAGTCCCCCCCCCCCCCCAAATTCCACTTGGCTAGTTCAAGTTTTTTATGTAAGCCTTTTTTTAAGCTCACATGAGTAAGCCACTCAAATGAGATGTTATTTCCATGGGTAATCCAGCTGCAGTGATACTGGCAGCTCTAAAAAATAGCTGGAAACAAACTAATGTCATTCAGCATCTGCCCACACCTGAAGCTATACTGAAGATTCCAAGATGAACCTTCTGAATGTCTGATGTTGGGTTTTTTTTTTTTTTGAGAAGAATATATTTTTCAGATTCAGCAAGAAAAAGTAGTAACAGCTGTGTGTACTTCAGATAAGAGTTGAGAACCTTTCATACATTTGGTGCTTCTACAGTCCAATGTCAGTTTTAAAATGTTGACAAGGACCAAAAGATCACAGAGGGGAGCATTGCCTCTACAGACTTACCCAGGAGAAATAGATCTCATTAATTTTTTTTGTTACTTCATTCATAATTGTGGAAATTGATTGCTTTTACTTTATTATTGATAACATAGTTATTATAACAAAGAGACTTCTGACACTTTTAAAGACTAACAAATTTTCTGTTGTGTAAGCTCTCATGAGCCAGATTCAACTTCACTGTTTGCATGGTTTATTACATGGTTCATTGTGCTGTCCATTGTGAATGATTTGTCAGCCCCGTGCCTTTTTCTTTGGTTGATTATGTGGTGGGGAGAATGCTGAAGCAAATCACACACACATGGACCCATAAAGTATTTTCATGGCTCATGGTGATTTTGATAGTGATTCTTCCTTAATATGAATCCTATACGATTAAAGAACCCAAGGAAATAAATCATAGTAGTGCTGATTTAATTCTTCACAGGGAAATAGTTTTTAAGGAACTGAGCCATGGCTGTCCTTGGTTGAACTTGTTGAGAAAACATGAAATTCTGAATGAATGGTATAAGCAAGCTACTTTCAACAACTGCAGGGATCTGTAGCTGTCCCCAACTGTGTTTTTCTTTTTGCAGTGCTATTTTTTCACCATTGAGTTTGGCCTTTGTAAGCAAGATGGGCAACTCCGGGCATATGGGGCAGGCCTTCTGTCTTCCATTGGAGAACTTAAGGTATGTTTGCAAATCAACATTACAGGAGGATAAATTAATTTCATCCCTTAAAATTATCTTGTGGAATCTCACATGTACTTCTCTGGGAAGCTGGTTCCTTCTGGCATAAGCTGAATTCATCCTAAACATGATATCAGTTTCATCCAAAACTTTCTCTGTTTCACCTGTCTTCATATATTTTGCCAGAATGTGTGACATCTTTCTCCTTAATCTATTGTATCTTTAACTTTCCCTTCCTTTAAGGAACTTAGGACAGTGTAAATGGTTCTCTCCTCTTTGATTTTAGCCTCACAACAATTCTGTGAGATTACTTAGACTGAGAGACAGACCTACAGACAGACAGGCCCATGGTTTTGTAGTTAATTCATTCCTAAATGGGGATTTGGACCTAGGTTTTCCATGGCCTAGTCTGATACTCTAACCACTGCATCACACTGCTCCTAGTATTTTTGCTACGTTATGTAGAATCTCTTCCCTGAAAATTTTGGACATCCACATTCAACATGTTTTCAGCTGCCAGAATAGACTTAGGTAAGGTTTGTAAGGTAAAAAATGACCAATACGAACAGCATTTGTAGACAAAATTAAATCTTTTTATTTACATATTAAACTATCAGTATTGCTAAAAACAAAGATTTGTCTTGGTTGGATAAAATTTGGGAGTATTATCATTCATATGAAACAACTGTTATAATTTTATGTTATATATGTTGTAGCTTCAATTATTGTTTATTTAAAGAAATAAAAAGTTATTAAAATGCCACAAAATTCAAATTGTTTTGATGATGCTACATTGTGTTGCAACTTTGCTGTGCTCCTTTTCAAAGGAATGGACTGCAAGAAGCAGTCATCTGGGTACAAGTCAAGGATATTCTAGTTTTATATATACCTTCCTTTCCCTTGTAGTGCAAAGCAGCTTACAATTCCAAGATAAAAAACATACCAAATACAATAAAGTATCACTAAGCGCCCTGCCCTACCCTACAAAGCTCTAAGCCCTTTGGGCCATCTGTTCCACAGAGATTGTATCCTCCTTTATGCCTTATTAGCTCTAAAATGTACCCAAAATGCTCTCTTAACAAAGCAATCCATGTACCAAGTCTGGATTGTTTTGGGAAGGATTAGTATGTTTCCTTAAAGGATGCTTCAGCTCAGGGCTTGCCAGCATGAACAATAGATATCCCAACATAGTGACTGATTAATAAGTTAACAAAGAGGTGTGTCATCCTACAGCAATCTAGAGCAGTCTTGACCACCCATTTACTGTCCAGTCCTTCTAATCTTGCTGAGTGTCTAAAGAATATGCATGATGAGACTTCCTGACAGTGCCATATTTGGTCAATCCAAGCCAATTTCAAACAAGTAAAATAAGAGACTGTTTTTCACATTTTTGTCCCTGACACAAACAAAAAGATGATTTAATGACTTTTCTGGAAGTAGCTGCACATCCTTTTCTCATTTTCCCATGCCCCTAAATGCAGCTCTTGGCCATTGCCTGGCAGCATTCAGAGTGCTCCAGTGAAATTAGTAGGATAACGTCTTTTATCAGCATACAATAAATAAACATGACTGTTTAGCATATATTCAAGCCATTTCTAGATCTAAACTCATTCTCATGATGGGATATTGGCTGTGAGACAAATGACACAGATTGTGTGAATGACATGGTGAGATTTAAAAGTACCTGTCCAGGTGAACATTATTGCCTTCTGCCTTTGGAAAGTGGATAATTTTGCTGCACCTGCAATTATGCTTGGAATATATATTTAATAACCTTCTTGGTGATGATTTAGACATGCTTCCTACAGGGTAGAAACGTCTCTTGATTGTTCTTGATTATGTAGTAATTTGGGGGGGGGGGTGGAGGAGGAGGAGAATGATCGTAGAGAACCTAATAGATTGTAAAATAAAATTGATTTATCCTATTCATGATGAAAGGCCATTCGGGATAAAACATGTGGGTCTAGCAACTGTTTGAGAGCATACTATAATGATGATATAAAAGCACTTCAGAGTTCTATAATATAATTTAACAGATGCTGTGTTGTATTTTGCAGCATGCTTTGTCTGATAAAGCCAATGTGAAAACATTTGATCCAAAGACAACCTGTTTGCAAGAATGCCTTATCACTACTTTCCAGGAAGCTTACTTTGTCTCAGAAAGTTTTGAAGAAGCTAAAGAGAAGATGAGGCGAGTTGTTTCTCTTGACCCTTAAAAACAACCCCCAAATCTAATTTTCTCTTATCTGGATGTGCAGAAATAGGAGTTTAATTTTATTTTTCTTACAGGGAGTTTGCAAAATCAATCAACCGTCCCTTTTCTGTATATTTCAACCCATATACCCAAAGCATTGAAATTCTGAAAGACACCAGAAGTATTGAAAATGTCGTCCAGGATCTTCGGAGTGACCTGAACACCGTGTGCGATGCTTTAAGCAAAATGAACCGATATTTGGGGATATGACTTTTTCGGTGCTTTGTAGTCTTGAAGCCCAGCTGTGCCAGCACCATTATGAGATGCTATTCCCTTTGTATTGCAATCTGTCCCCTCTCTCTTGCATGAACATCAGCTTGCTCAGTGTGTGCTCTGTAGCTTCAGATATGCCAGCACTAGCATGGAAATTCACAAGGGCATAAAAGCAAGAAAGTTACATCAATAAATAGACATTTGTAGTGGTGGTGGGGAAGCAGTAGCATTATAATAGAATCACAGCAGTCACAATATTTCCCAGTAAAAATGTAATAAGGACTGGATAAAATGTTAATTTCATTATGTTTGATGAAATAAAAGTTTATTGAAGACCATAATACATGAGCTTCAATGGGTAAGAGATTTCTAGAAGATGAGCATAACCACCACCGAAAAGGCCCTGCCCCTTGTACTTACCCTTATAGCCACAGATAATTCTGGTACTCCAAGCTGTGTCGCCCTGATAATCTTAGCACATATGAAGTGCACATGAAAGAAGGCTCTCCTTGAGAAACCCTAGGCCCAATTTGCTAAGGCTAAGTTAAGATCAGCACTTCAAATGAAGACTAGCAACCCAAGGAAGTAAGCTAATACAGGTCTTTAAGCACTGCTGTCAGTGCTTTCATGTGGCATACTGCTGTTATTAAATGGCCACCACAGTCTCATCAGTTGTGCTATCCAGGCATAAGTAGCCCCATACACAGCAGTCTATTCTGGAGTTTATCACGGCATGTGTAAAAGTGGCCAAGTCATCTTTTCTACCAGGAGTGGCTGCACAACCAAAGCTGATACCAGTTATTCTGGAGATTGATGCTACTTGAATCCTCCAGGTGCATTCTTGGGTTCAGCAACATCCTTAAGCCAATCCCTTTTAAGACAGGACCACACAAGCAGACCCAGCAATTGAAATGAAATTCTATAGGGCTGGTTCACACATGCTTCATTCATAGTTTGATGCTTGTGGTGACTTGCTGTGAATGCATCCTTGCCAATCAGAGAGTTCTCATTAACTGCTGTATTTTGAGATGGAATGAGCTCATGTGCTCAGCTGTGAGTCAGTAAGTGCAGAATAATCTAGTTTACTTGCACACACAAACACAGCCCGATGTGCTATTGAAAAATCTTATTTGGCAGGGATTTTGTTTTCTTAAAGAGAGAGTTTCTTTGAAAAAGCCAAATATAAGGAATTACTCCTCTGTCTCCAGTAGGGATTTTTTTTTCTTTATGACTACTAAGGCTCCTCCAGGACATGGGAAGGGGAAAAAAATATACCAAGTTTTCATTTCTCTTGTATGGGGAGGCATATTTCTTTTTTGCTTAGTGAGGCCCATTTTTTCTCTCTCCTGTTGCCTACATATTTGGGGGTCTCTTGTGACTTGGCTGAACGGTGGTTTATGTAACACCGTGAACTGCAGGAGGAACATATATTTCCGTTAAATGGTCTTTGGAGGCTGCAAAGGAGAATATGCATACTGGACAAATCTTTCAAAGCAGCTGAGTAATTACAAAGCATTGAAGCAACTTTTCATTTCCCCCTTCTTATAATACATGTATGAGGATATTTAAATGTATTTTTGGTGCCTAATCAATAGATTGCACAAAATAATACAAAGCCACATGGCAGTGCTCGAAACATTCCTTAAAAGATTCCAGGCATTAACCAAATTTAAAAAGTCTTTAAGGCTGTAATCCATTGAATTCAGTTGGCCTCCTTTTCCCATAAGTTAGCCATTTGTCAATTTCATTCGTATCTGACTGACACATTGTAACATTTTAAATTTATCAACAGAATTGCCTTTTGAGGATGTTTTATCAGAGTTCATTTTTCTCAATCACACACTGGTCAGGCAATATCAACCATGCCATTGCAAACTTCACCAGGGAATAATTTTAATTAGATTAGATTTATTGAGAGTATTTGGGTTTGATTTTCAGTTCTAACGGTTTTCAAAGTGGTTCATAATAATGAAAGCAGGTATTGTATGTGTGTATGTAAAGTGCTATCAAGTTGCAACTGACTAGGGATGGGCATGAACCATAAAAATGCAGTTCACTTCATGGTTTGTGTCGTGCCCTGTTCATGAATCATGGACCATCATTTTAGGTTTGTGAGGCAGTAGAATGCCCCCCCCCGTATGCTAGAGTCTCCAAACTCACAAAGGATCTACAGCTGATTTTCTCCTACCTGCCCTCCAAGTTTGGTGAGGATTGGATTTATGAGGTCTGAGTTACAGCTCCCCCCAAAGCTGCCCCAGGAATGTGCTTTCTGGGGAAACGACCGCCTGTCATTTCAATTCTTATTAAATTTGGCAGGCAGGTAGAGGAGAGTCATCAGCAGGAGATCCCCTGTGAGTCTAGTGTCTCTAGATTGCACAACATCCATTTTATATAATCCTAAACCTTCTGAATCTGTGCCTGTCAAAATGACTGAGGGCATGTGGAGGAGCATCCGGGGGAGATCTACTGCAAGTTTGGTGTCTTTAGCTTGCACAAGATCCATTCTATATACACCTGAACCTCCTAAACCTGTGCCTGTCAAAATGACTGAGGTTTAGAAGTGTATAGATCAGATCCTGTGCAAACTAGAGACACTAGACTTGCAGGGGACCTTCCATGGATGCTCCTCTACATGCTCCCCAAGTTGTTGCTTTGGAGTTATATAAACATTCCGATTGAGTGGAGACAGGCTGTCTGGAAATGTCTTTGCTTATGAACCAGCATGAACCTCCACAAACAGCTTGAAAGTTTATGGAAAGTTTGTGCTGGGTGACCTGCCACAAAATTGACTTTGCAAAGCATGGGCCAGCCAAAATTCATCACGAACTATAGTTCATGAGCCAGTTTGTGCCCATTCCTACAGCTGACTTATGGCAACCCCACAGGGTTTTTAAGCAGAGGTGGTTTGCCATTGCCTTCTTCTGCAAAGTTTTTCTTGGTGGTCTCCCATCCAAGTACCAACCCTGCTTAGCTTCCAAGATCTGATGAGGCTGGGCTATACTGTACCATTTCATATCTCCCAAACCAGGTATCAAGTGGAACACTGTTGTTCTGATAATAATGGAACCCTTTGAAGTGCATCTGAGCATTGACAAATATACTTTTTAATTAAATTGTCCTGGTGGTCTGAGACAACACTGGAGGCAAAGAATTTCTGAAGTGCACTGGAGACCCCCAGAACTAATTATGCAGCCACGTCAAACAAAATGGTTTGTTATTCTTAGCTTTTCACACCCAGTTGCGTTTCAAACATCTGCCTGTACGACTACATAAGTATGTAAGTTCAGCTTAAAACTGTGTTGGCCTGGTTGTTACTAACCTGGCCTCCTTGAGATTCGGGAGAGCCAGCTGATTCCAGGACCCTGATCGCAGTGCTCTCTGGGGTACATTGCTGGATGTGTTCATGCAACAATGTGTTCTCTGTGAGTCCCACAAAAGAGATCTTTGTACCCATCCTTTTGCTTGTTGGGGAGAATTGATGAATAAATGTGATTGATTGATTTCTACCCTACCCTCCTGGCTGAGGCTGGCTCAGGGCAACTTACATAAAATACCTAAAATTTTAACAATACACATAAAATAGGTAAACAACAACAATTAACAATTAAACGGGGACTTCTGGTTGATGGCGGCATGCTAACAGACCTACTGCCCGGACCTCCCGGGGGAAGGTCTGTTCTCTGGCTGGGGGAGGGGGTGCGCAGGCTCGCAACCCCCCCAGGGACCCAGTGAAGGGGCCCTGGCCAAGGAGCTCTCAAGGGCAGAATGCCCGAGAATCGAGGCGCTTCTTCACTCCGATGGTTCCTCAAGCTGTGAGACCGAATGGTATAAATGAAGCTGACTGGAGCAAGCACAGGAGATCCAGCAAGTAAAATGAAGCCCAAAGTGGGGTCGGAAGACCAGTAATGAATGTGAGTCAACTTAAAGGCGAATTTAAGAATAAAAGATAGCTCCCCCAAACCCTATTGCACCGAACGGAAAAAAGGTGAGCAGGGGGAGGGACGCCTCCCACACGCACGAACTTTTTAACCGAGAGGGGGGGGAGCGGAAGAAATTGCGGAGAAAACTGCCTAGAGGCACTTACCCAAGTGAGTTGAAGCGCTCAAGTGCATATTCAGAGACTTGAAAAGTAGGAGAAAGTAAACAAGCGATAAAGATGGCGGGGAAGAAGGACAAAGAAAGACTTTTAAAAGCAAAACTGGAAAGTCCTAAAACGGAAGTTACCAGCAAGACAGTGAAGGCTGTAGCAGAGTACATGTGCCCTCTGCTGGAACAGCTGAATAACTGCAAGGACCAGATGTCAAAAGTAACACAAAGCAAAACTGCAACACAAGCCCAACTTGATGATATGATACAAATTATGAAGCAGGATGTTGAGAAGATAAAGGAGGTGGCTGCAAACACGCAAAAAGTAAAAAAGAAGGTACAAAAGCTTGAAGAGAAGACAACTTTTTTGGAAGATCAAATGCTACAAGTACAAATGGAAAAGGCCAACATGGTTCTTCGCTTCCAGGGCATGCCAGAAAAACCAGGTGAGAATCTCAAAGAAGTGATGAGTGAACTGCTAGCCCCAGTGACAGAAATGAAAACAGAACTCTTGCTAAACGAAATGGATGTGGTCTATAGATCATATTCAGGATATATAAAAAAGTATAATCTGCCTGGGGAAATTAGTTGTGAGATTCTCGAAGAGGCATGTTAGGGATGCAATCCTGAAAGCGGTTTCTGGAGCTCCCCTGAAAGTAGGAGAAAGTTCCATCAGAACGCTGAAGGATATTCCATTTGAAGTCAGACAAAGTCAGAGAAAGAAGTACAAGGAGCTGGTGCTTTTTCTTCAGACAAACTCAATTGGATATAAATGGCTGTTTCCAGAGGGAGTCACTTTCAAGATCAAAGATAAAAAAGAAAAGATTGACTCTGTTACAAAGACCAAAGAATTTCTAAAGGCTCAGCTGGGAAGATCAGAGGACGAGCAAAAAGAAGAGGACAGCAAGTCT